TGCTCAAAATATTACTCGTATAAATTACATAGTAGATACCTATACCTTTTTTTTTACATCAGGAAAATCCGTCATGTAGACAATTCGACGAATAGGTACTGCCGGCCTCCTACCGGTTAAAACCCTGATGGTATACCTCTCGGCTCGTGGCGGGCGAGATCGCGGGAAACGACATTCATATGCTTCCCCGCCCTGCGATATCGATACTTACGTAATTTTTTCTTAGTTTACACAGTTATTTTTTTCATAAAATTGTTAATATGCAATTTATTTTATAAAATTTTATATCATATCGATAATAATATACACGTATAAATATCTAGGTGATAGATCCTCAGGTCCAGTTTTTATTATCAGCAACGATTTTTTCTAACACGCTTTTTTTCGCTTCACTGCTATAGAGCTACAGTTTATAAACTACTATCTTTTTTCAGCACGAGTCATTCCTATTTCGGTAGAGTAGCTTTTATGGTTTAGGCAAAGAAAATACTATTATTATTCTATGACAGCGTTTATACCTCGTCGATTGAATACCACCAAGTTACTATAGTGACAAGGTGTGCCCAAATTTCATTGCTCCATAACACGCACATGACATTAAATTATGACAATGCCGAATTTGCTTTAATTTTACTTATTATTTCAAATTGAAACATCTATCTAAGTAATCAATACTTAAATTGTATTACAGTAAGGTATTTATTATATAACGAATTTAATTATAAACTAATCATCCAAAATTCACCACTTTCTGAATCACCGAAAATGGTTGGGTGAGAGAATGAAATTTTGGCATCTGGAAATGATAATGTGTTTAGAGACAAGCAATTGGGGAAATTTGCAAACTGTGCCATGCCGTGAATATTCAAATGTATTGTGTTTTCTGCAATTAATGAATAAATTTGAATATAAAAAAAACTTTAATAATTAAATATTTCGAAAGCGTTATGGAGTTGGTGTTGATTTTGATCTAAAGTTAGTGAATTAGTACCATAATTAAAAAATAAATTATATTCACTACTTTTCTGGCGATAGAAGCACCGAAAACAAACCAAAATTAATTTAAAAGTATAATAAGTATTGTGTTCACCTTTACGTTGAGAATCCTAAGTATCGTCAACTATGTACAATGCCTTTGACCAAGTAAGATATGGTGGTGGTACGGTGGTATATATATTATTAGATATTAGTAAAATATATTGTTACAATTGTAATACATTGGAATTACCTAATTATTGTAATACTGCTTAGTATTTTCCATTTATAAAGTTTTGTTTCCACAACTTCATAATTCCTTTCTAGTAAGTATTCAAAGGTTGGCTGCAAGAAATCCCTCTATTCTGATGAGTCCGGTATTGTATTCATTTATTACTTAAGAAGTTTGTGTCTTTTATCTTAAGTTTGTATTGTACAAATCTCACTTGCCTTTGGCTACTTTTGTATTATCTAAGATCACTTTAATAAAAACATTAAAAATTATCTCAATCATTATATTAAATAAAATTATAGTAATTATTTAGATTCATTAACTGAGTAAGAGCAGAAGTCCGTTCTATTCCGTAAGAAATCTGATGTGTGGATATTAATAATTATAATTAAATTAGTCTATTATTGAAAGTTACTTATCTTATCCAGTATTACACAACAACTACAGTCAGTCATCCCAGATGGTGTAGTTGCTAACATCAACTGTCAACGTAATTGTGAAGACAACACTTGACATGCCCACATATTTGGTATTCGAATCCAACGTGGCAAGCGGCCGGCCTATCACCGTCTCTCAGATTAATTTCGATTTGACATCGGTGTTTACTTCACCGAAAGTCAGTCAGATATATAAATTGAGACATAGTATTTTTTGTGTCGGATTGATTTAAAAGTAAGATATCTTCGACGGAATTCATAATAAAATTTATTTTAAAATTAATGTTGCAAACTAAACTAACTATAGACTAAACTATGCCTTTTTAATAATACATAGTCGACGAAATAAGATACTTTTAAACATAAATAGACATATGTATATATATAGAAGTATGTACTATATACGTCAATAGTCAGTAAGCTCTTTATCATAACACTTTGGAGTGACCGTTATATAAGTTCCAACATGTCAGTCACTTTTATATTATTTGAGTATTACAGTTAGCAGTATTAGGGTTCTCAAGTGGGATGTGATGTTAACAAACGGAAATGGGTTACGATGCGCGTGAATTTAGCTCACGTACAAATTTCAAGCGGAGAAATTGTGTTGAAACTTATATTGAAATTTAGAAAGCTGAGTTAAAATGTAATTGAGAACAATGATTTGTTAATAAAATAATTCTACAAATAAATTCCAAATATTATAGATTTAGAGAAAATATATGTGACTTGGGAATTTATAACTTATTATGAATCTCACATATTAATATACATTTGCAGTTATGATGGTCTGAGTATAAAAAAAACGGTTACAATGTAGTATAGTCCAGTTATATTTTCTGCATATCAAAATACAAAAAGTTAAATTGTTATTAAAACAAAAATAAAAAAATTAAATTTTCACGTACACGGTATGTATCTAAATGATGTGTAACAAATCTTTATAATCTATACTAGTAAATAATTAAATTAATTAATATAAACAATGCATTAGATATTCAAGGAATCCTTTGGGTAAATTTCACGGTCTCGATATAAAACGTAACATCGAAGTGGCTCTAACATAGAACCACGATTGTTCCAACTTTAATTACAATCCAGCCGAGAGCGAGAGCTGATGAATCGATTTTCACTTATGATGCCACTTGGCAAGGACGAGGCCTCGTTTAAATCTAGCTAAATGCGCAACTTGCCAAACGTCCCCATTCCTTTAGGAATTTGGAGCAAGCTGTCTCGTTAATCATCAGTCCACCTTTACGTTAATTAACAAATGCGAATGATGGTATACGGAATGTTTCGCTTTTGCCATTATATTTCAATTGGCAGCCTTCCACGAATATCTTTAATTGATAAAAATCTTTGAAAGGACAATGTATTTTCTTTTATAAATAGTGTTTGCTTAGGCAATGTCATATATCATGTCAGGTTAGAGCATTTATAAATCACAAGTGATAGTAACGATTTTTTTTCAGAATGTTTTTATTTATTAATAAACATATTTTTTGTATTTCAATGTAATTGAGGAAATGCTAAGGCTCGTAACAAAACTGGGCTTAACTGTAAATCGGCACTGCAATCCATATTTTCCGCATAATGCTGAGTTGTGGCTTTATTGTGGCCCACATTGACGCCTACGGGCATTTTCATTTTCGTTTGTAATAATGATTTTTGTTGTTTTTTGTATCTATGTTACTTAAATTTTAGATAGAGTCAATAAATCCTATTATATACTATTCTATTCAAAATTAAACATTCAGTTATTAAATTACATAGACATCATAAAGATTTAGTATGAACCATAACAACTTTATACGACATGACATGTTCAAATTCGATGAAATAACGCTCGGTTGTCCGCTGGGGACACTCCCCATTTGCTGAAAGAGGGCTACTGACATATAGACGTATTGAATAAATCGACTGACTACTTTTACGTACACAAAATCGTGCTATGGTCGATTCAATTTAAACTGATAACTATTCAACTGTATGAACATAGTTCATATAGATACATTTTAAAGCAGTTGGTGTAAAACGTCTTAATAACCACTACAATTCGAATAACTTTGAATGTAAAAAGAGATTGCTTCATGTAATGATAATGTAGATATATAGTCCATATTATTCATTTTAATATTTTTTCAATTATTTTGCTCATTCTTCTTGTAATAAGACAGCTTTTTTTAATAAGCTTAAAAATTTTTGATGACTATTGAAAAGTGCTTAAATTAAGTTTATTGGAATAAAGGATTTTCTAATCTATTCTAAACAAGCAAGGATTGTTTATATACCTAATATATTTCTTACATAAAGTTGGCAACTTTAAGTATTTCATTTATAAGGTATTATAAGGGTAACTAAAGTGAAATCAAAGGTTACGAATACTAATTTGTCATCATAAATTTTATATCTGAATTGATATTTACTATATGTTTTGCTCAATTAAATGGCTAACATTGTACAGATTCTGGTTTAGTGTTGAACAATAGAGCAGATATATTTTTAATAAATTTGAGATGCATAGTTGAATAACATAAACCAGAGTGTACTTACCAAAGTTAATATTACTACAACCTAAGTGCCCACCGCACTCCTTGAGATGATAGGACACATTACTACCCTAACCAATAGTTTCGACTGGGATAGCTCAATTTCTCAACTCTCATGAGAATCGGTTCGTTCGTTCCCGACTCGAGTTAGAGAAAAGTTGGTCAACCTCTAAGCCTTTAAATATATATTCCTATTACTGATAATATTTTTTCCTTTTTTATCATATGAACTAAACACTAAAAGATCTGCAAACTAGTTCACGTACATCTTTGGGTGTACAATCACTTCATGAACTCTACTAGCCTAATAAGCGTAAGGAGGAGGCTTGCTCTATAACAATTACGGAACGACTCGTAGCCATTGAAGTCATTATTGGTAGAATGTTGACGCTAATAACACCGACATGCCATGATACCTTGTGTACTCTACCATGGTGATAAGACCACCTTTTGTGGTGCACTATTTCCCATATATTTTCTTCCACATTTACTGTGCGCGATAAACATATATTATTATTATCCTTCAGCATTCATAGCTTAGTACCTTTTTTATTGTTAACGATTTATTCACTATGTCTCTATGTCAGTAATATTATTATTTATTTACCTTTCTTTCCTCAGCTTTCGCCGGTTTTATGATATTCACAGGCCTAAGCCAAGTGTATTTTAAATGTATTGTTCATTGTTTTTTACGTCTTGTGACGAAGTATTATTATTTTAGTGGGTTCACGCTGTCTTCTTCAATGGATGAATGCTTTGTAACATTTTTTTAAATTTAATTAAACTAATTAAAAAAAAACTACTTACAATACGTGGCAGTGGTTAGCCTGTCGATGGTGTCCTGCTTCAATTTGGAGTTCTTCTTACCCATCTTCGTTTGGTGTTTAACCGGCTGGTTGGCACTCACAAAGAGTATTGTCTGTGGTTGGTCACAAGGTGACGTCTTACATATTATTCATCCGGTCACCTTTGCTACCTGAAAATATAAAATCAGTTAAAGGTTTACTGTAATAAAAAAATATTGTTATGAGTTTACAATAAGTCTTTAATATTCTGGGTATGTATTATATGTTTTGTAAAATATAATTACCATAATATATTATTTATGTACGAGATAATCTACAAAATTTAAATTTAACTTTAACAAGTTATATCAAAATAAAAATTAATATCTGAATTAATAAAAAATGCATTTGATAATTATGTCGATTGTGTCGATGTCTATGTTGTTGTAAATAAGTGACTAATGTTTATATTTATTCAATATTAGCAGTAATCGCTAAATAAAACAATACTTTTATATTACTTTAATATTTACCGAATAATAAACTCAATATGATCATTATTTTATTTATTAAATGCTGACTATTACACAATATATAAGAAGATTAGAACTTTAACTATTCCGAATTTGAAAACAGAGCTGTATTTAATTACTTTGTTAAGATATTCACTTTGTTACAACAAATAATAAAATGGTCACGTTCTGTCACATAATTTCAACAATGCTGCGTCAACAGTATCCTGTTTTACCATGTCTCTCTTTCTAACTCAACAAATCCTTTATCTCTGTCTCTTTCGGTATAAATTATAGCTGTTTTCCTTCTCCTGAATATTGTAGGGCGAACAGAAGCGGTGGCGGGACGTAAACGAAATACTTATTTTGGCGTATCTTCTACGAAAACAAGCCATTTATAAGATGGCGATAAATCAAGAGTTCTTTCGCATTTGAGCATATAATATTATTACTTTATGACTAACACAAAGTGATAACCTTGAACTCGGAAAATTGTAAATAATTGATCGGATCACAACAAATTACAAAGAGGCGACTGAACTTCATTTTAGAAGTTGTCGCTGTTAAAATAATATCACAACATAATTGTATTTTCTATGAATGGAGTTTAAACTTTAAGGTCTCAACTTTTATCAATGATTTAAGTTCATACTTTAAGTAAATTATGAATAAAGGTGTGAACGACTTTTTCACTACATTGTCACATCCAATGCTGTGAATACCATTTTCATTGCTGTTTCGTGTCATTATATTTAAATTAATAGTTATGACTCCAAATTAGAAATAAATACCAGTAAGAACGTGCTTCAAAAAAATTTACCATAAAATAAAAAAGATTATATCTTTTATTTTACAAGCTTCGTCCTTAAATTTTTGACATAAAAACCTATTAAGCTCACTTAACCTTTTGTTTTTGGTCTTGTAATTTTCTTGTTATTTATTTTAATTTTTCTATTCATTATATTGTGACACTAGAACTATCTGTATATGTATAAAAGTTTATCAAGCATCACTATCTGTGGTCATTCTTTTATTTACTCTATAATAGTGTAATCTTATACATCACAACAAAATTCTGAGACAGACTGTAAAATAAAGTTTTTCGAACAGCTATAACTTCAAATGTAATATATATCCAGACTTATTCACGATAAAACAACTATAAAGCTGTTGATAAAGACGGGCTCCGATAACACTGGAGCTATTTAAATAAACTTACTTTAATACGGGCGAGGTCTCAACTGGGCTATTATGTTTTATGTGGCAGAATTAAAATTAGTTCCACGGAATCAAGACGTGAAACATTAACAATATTATTATTTAACAAAGTTTTGTTACTACTTCATTTGAAAAGTTTTCTTAAAGTACTGAAAATTATTAAAATTTGGAGTAGTTTAAAATTACTTGCGTACATTCGAGCATACGATATTTAAACATCGTTTATTTTACAAATGAATTTGAACTTGTGACTAAGAGATCAAAACTTGGCATCTAGTTAATTATTTATGTTATAAATGTTGATGAATCATTATTACAATTAATATGAATTATGTATATGTACATATTCGTATGAATTATGAATATGTATTTAAAAAAAAAAAGAGTATAATTTTTTCTGGATTTCAGATACATTTTGCCAAAATGTTTTTTTATTCCAGAAACATTAAAAGTGCATAAGAGAAAGTCAACAGACTGTTGATTGAATGCTTTGAAGATGTCAAAATAAAGCAATTCCCTCAGAGATTAAATAATATAAAAATATAACTAACATATGAAATATTAATAAATAAACCTGCAACGAACTAATCTTATAAGCGCTATTTCGTTTCAGATTCGATACTAGCAAAAGTTACCCTACATTACGGAGAATAAAATAATAATCGAGTCACAGTAAGCAAAAATAATATCAGTAGTATTCCCAGAACTCACAACAAAAACTATTGTTGTTCTGAGGTAATATTAGTTGAAATGGAAATGTATATGAGTCTAGAGGTACGACATATTTCATAACTTTATAATGAATTTACTGTTCCAAATAGATTTGCAACAATTGGATGGTTTTCAATTCTGGCGTATTGTTTGATCGCTGAAATGAAATGCCATACCACATCATTACATCGTGAATGCAAATTCATAAACAGTTATCGGATTTCCAAATACAATTTCAGATACCATAAATTTCGACCAATACTCATTGTATTAGTGTTTCTAAATTGGGTGAGTATAATTAACTAACAAACCGCTGCAGTTATTGTACAATTTCTAAATATTTTACATTGAAATATAAATAAGCTGTCGTCCTACCTTATCGTAAGTGGCAACCGCAGCCTATATATATGAACAGCACAACGGAAGGCTCTGCCATTCTGGAGGACTGAAAGGAACTAATGACTGAGTCATCGAAACTATATCAAGAAATCTGTGTATGAAATTTGAAAAAGAGGTACCTATGCACGAAAACGACTTTTTACAAACAATTCTAACAAGATAAAAAGTATTGCTTTCTATAAATCATATTTTAGAATAGATCAAATTGTTTTTCATAAAATTATAATTGAAATTAGTTTATATTAAATATATTACATTATATATAGTGTAAAGTTAGCCTTCAGAATTTCTACCAGCTTCAAACTATATCAAGTTCTATCAGGATTGATATAACACTTAAAGTTATGCCTACTTGATTTTGTTGCCGGAATTTCATGATTATATCGAGGTTGCAAAGTCGACGAAGCACCAGGAAAATACGAAAATCTATCGCAATAAATCCCGTACTTCAAATGCTGTATTGAATGTCTGCGGGAACTTAAAATCATATCATATTTCCAAGTGGATTTCGTTATAAGTTTCAATATAAATGTTATAGACGCAGAAAGAAATTGTATGAAATATCTAGCTATTTTGTAGAACATCATGCCATCCAGCCAATATACAGAAAACTATTTATATATCGATATTCAAATGATACAATATCCAACTACTTATATCGATAAGTACTTGGATGTTGCATCATTGGTTTGTTAGATATTATTTAAAGTTGAGGTATTATTAAAAATATTTTATTTATTATATTCTTCAGTATTTCAAATCTTTGTAGACATTGAATTATAAAGCATTATTATTTTTGAGCGAGATTAGATATTGAACTTATCACCGATTTGCCTATCCGGTATACAGACATGCAAAAAGAAAGTATTCAATTGGTTATCTTTATGCATCAAATAATATAAGCAGAGAATACCATATTTAAAAAATATCGAATCTGAGCACAAACAATACTTTGGAAAATTGTGACGATCTGATTCTGGTCAGTACCAAGAACAATAGCGTTATAGAGATAGTTCTATTTTGCAACATCATATTTTTTTATTGACGATTCACAAATCTTTGATCTGTCACCGCTGGATATTTCTGAAATGCTGTCTGAAATTATGCTTCTTATATGTGACTTTAATCTTCCAAATGTTTATAATTATGATCGTAAAATTCAGTGATAGGTCTAAGATGCTAATCCATTTAAATGTCTACATAATTAACTAGACATCATTAGTAGGTTATTAGAAGAATTGTGGATGCAGATTTAGAAAGCCGAAAACGTGTTTGCTTATATATTATATATACAAAAAACTACCATTCAGTAGCAGTTTTGTGAGGATTATGCTGAACGTTACGGTGAAATTCCAATATTATTTATTATTATCCCGTAGGGACCGTTTAACTTCCCGCTATAAAAGTATGATATAATGTGGACCTAACGTGTGATATATAAGGTAATCAAGGTAAAATATCAGAGTAATGTTACGTTATACAGTTTTTTTATTTATATCTTAAGTTGCCAATAAAAATATACATTTGGTTGGGACCCACCTCGACACTAATCAAATTTTTCCGATCGCAAATATGGATCGCATCATAAAAGCAATAATTATTATCAAATAGATAATGAAAGCAAAATTCAAAAAGAACTCTGTTTTATTTCTGTTATTTGATTTCTATCTTTCTGGTTGGTACTTACAGTCACTTTCGCTGGGTTTCAAAATATTATGGTATATGTATATTTGTTGGAACCAGCTAGGTAGTAGGTACATTTTTAAAGTATATATAGGTCCAGTGAAATTTTGACAATCACAGATTTTAGTAATGTGTTTGTATCTCTATTTCTCTTTATTATATTATACTGGATACCAATAAAAGTTATGGATTAAAAAGTAAGAAATGTCATCAGTAGATTTTTGTCTTGTTTTATCTCAATTGCATTTTTTTCCATACCGTATAATATGAGTGCTTAGAATACAATTTGAATAGGAGTCAATCAGGTGCCGTGATACCTAATTTATAAGCAAGTATTGACATGCAAACTACATGCAGTTGATACCTCCATCTATATTCATATCTGAAGTGCTAAACATGCAAATGTATTTTAAACATATTTTAATAAATTATCTAGTATTATATTCTGTGATAACAACTGAAAAAATAGCATTTATTTTTAAACAATCTTTAGTAGTGCTGTTTTATAAACAATACGATTTAAAAATAAAAAAAATTATAACTATAGAGAGCAGAATACCTGATAATATATTGCTTAAAATCTTTTCTTAACTAATCATTATAGGTTTCAAGCCAGTGGGCACATCGACTAACTTTTATGTGGCCACTTTGATCGTAATATTTATTGTACTTTGTTAGTGATACTTCAGCGAGTATCTATAAAAGAAGTCGAGGAAGTATGTCAACATAGAAATCTATATATAAACTAGCTGGCCTGGTAACGAAAAACAATGTTTGTTTTGTCACATAAATTAATCAGTTATCGACCGCTGACAGTAGAAAATTATTAATTTAAAAAATAGGGGTTGATGAAAAATCGCGTACAATTAGGGTTGTATATATTTTTTCGACAAACTATGAATATCAAATAAAGAAAATGTCCAATAGCTTATATTTTTTTCTTGGTAGACCACCTATCCTACTCTAGAAAAATAGCTTACGTCCTATTCTCAGACCTATAGAATATACACACAAAATTTCATATGAATCGGTCATGTCGATTCGAAGAAGATAAGTGTTAGAAATGTTATAAACCCTGTGATAAGAGAATTTTATATATTAAGATAGATACATATGTGTCGAATAGTAATACTCTTTCCTCTGAGAAATCAGAAAATGAACGCTATTTTCGTTAAAAGGCTCCTATCATCGAAATTACTTGGTAAGGATGCGTAACAACTTGGTTTTCAGGAATGCGGAAGATACAATATAAAGATCGCCATAGGCATATTGTATTTACCATTGAAGGCTACTATTACAATGTCATCATATCCTAATGCAACTGTTATCGATACTTTCTAACATAGGGATCATCAACTGTAATAATAAATCCATTGCAATTGGGATATTCCTAAAAATAAGAACAAAATGTTTCGTATGCAAACCTACCTGCAGTCGATTTAACTTTTTAAATTAGTTTCACACCGACAAATGCAAAATAGAACAAATAAAACAAATCTGATTTAAATATTTATTCGGGAACGTCGCGCGCGTCGGTGTACCGGCGAGTTTCACAATTTGTCAGTATTAATTTTTTTTAATCGTTATTTATAAAATATTTTACGAATGGAATAAGACAAAATTTTACAGCTACAGTTTAATTTTGATATTATTTTTATGTCATGGATATTTTAAATTTTAAGGAAGTTATGAAAATTTTGATGCTAGTTTTAAAACAACTCTTGTTTCTTCGTCCACGTGGATATCTTTCTCGCCAGGTGTCAGAGACATATGTAAAAAGATATTATAATTATGTTCTACATACAGTACGTATCGATCATTTATATTGTTACTCGTAAACTAACCTAAAACCTATTTAAACAACAATAGTTTCCCCTGTTTTAAATAAACCAAACATTATTTCCTAATTAATTACTATTAAATCACTATACAACGTTGTGAATCAATTACCATTAATAAATCTTTCAGAAAAGACTTTATTACCTTTTAGTATAACTGTTTAATGTCTATCCTGAAGGAAAACGAACACTGACACTTCATCACACTAGTGGCACACTATAAATACGATTCACAATCTATTCACTTCACGAATCTCTTTCGGTATCTGAAACGAGGCAAAATTCTCCCGTTACTTGGTATTTGTTTTATTCGCAAAGCATATTCGCGGTTTCATTATCGCTCAAAGCAACGTTTCTTGTGGAAACTATGTACGTGTAATTTGTACACAGCATTTTATCGCATTACTGTATTTATTGAGTTGAATAGACAGAGTTGAATAATAAACATTTTCTTCCCATTTTGGTTTTGAATTTAGCTAAACCTATTCGAAACCAAAATGAGAAGAAAATGTTTCTACGCACAGACGAGTCCTTATCAATAATACTGCAATTAAATATTGAAATTTTGCTTACGAACAATTCTGTCGTCAATATTACACACTCGTTCATTATTAAATATGAAGAATTATATTATACGTAACTAGTTGTTGTCGCCTGCTTTTCTTGGTATTTAATATAGTTTTTATCCGCCCTTAAATCCATAAATTAAGTGGTACATAAAAGGGGTGAGGGGAGGGGAGGAGATCGCCAAAATATTAATCATAGATCATTTATTTAATCAATTTGAAGATTTTAAGAAATTTGTGATCGCAAACCTGACATACATATCATTTTCAAGCCTTTCATTACATCCGTCCAGCTCTTAAGTCGTGAAAGATAACGAATAGATATAAAAAAGACAGAAACGCAATCATGACATTAGTATAGATATTAGAAAGATCACTTTCTAATATATATATACTAATATTATGAATGCTTTTCTGTTTTATACAAATATTCGAAAATTATTATTAATGTTATTCATTCGCTATGCAAATTCGCCATGCGGAAAAAAAATTTAGACAAGTTGTGATTTCGACCAATATATATATATATATATATAACTGCTTACAATATATAGAATATATTAGCAGTCTTGGCAAGAAGTTTCCTTATTGAATTATGAAGATAATGAATGGTTGAGATAAATCACAACATAGGATATGAAGCATTATTGTAATTTAGCAGAGTTGGATTCACAAAGAAGCGTGAGAAATTGACCATTTTGTCATGTATTAATCACTTGTATTGGGAAGTGATAATTAATAAAGTATTACGATACGACAGCCATTATATGTAAGTATGACGATATTATTGCCAGAGATGAAGATATTATAGAAATGGGAGTCTTAAATATTTGTATCTTTGCATGGACGGCGGAGTGTAAAACTATGGATAGCTGACTATGGACATTGAAACTGTACCAATATAGAATGCAAAATTGCTATTGGACTCAAATATTGACAAGGTCTGCAGTAGATAAGGTAAATGCGATCCTAGGTCACAAAAAAAATCTACAAGGAACAAAAATGTCAGAAGTCTTTCCCATAATTGAACTATATATTTTCATAGCATTTCATAGCATTGGGGAAACATGTACATCTGATAGTTGATGATAAAAGCGGCTAATGAACATCCGCAATACCAGGGGAATAGCAAGCGAGTTGCCGACCGTTTAAGGAGGAATTTGCTCTCTTCTATAAGATTTCAATAACATATCGGTTCGAAATACAACTGGTGAAAATTTATTCCACATTGAGCTTGTGTGGAAATTACTTTCTACAAAACTTCGCAGTAGAAGATTCATCTAGGTCTAGAGATAATAGAATATTGTCAAATATTGTATAATTACTATGAGATAATTATTACGTTTAAATATAGTAAGATCATATAATCTAAAAGAACGCGAGCTGCAAAATTTGTAAACAATAAACAATGATGTTTTAAACACACATTAGGTAACGCATTTATGTGAGTAAACAGGGCAGTAATATGGTACATAGTAAACCAATTCAGGCTCGCTTGTTTGTAGTCACTATACTAAATTTATTAGCGCTTTTAATTATTTGCTCCTCGTGAACACTCCGTTGGCAGTTGATTGAAAAATATCCTGTCGTTATTGCTTTACACAGTATCACCCTTTTGCCAAAACAAAGTCAATATTTGCGCAGATAAACAGCGTCCCTGAATTTCTCAATAATTAGAACTCAGTTCTTAATTATTTGCTATTTTGATTCCATTTATTTTTTCTACTTGTTCGGTAAATGTAGGATGGATATCGTGGGTAAGAACTCTTGGAGATATAAAATGTGCCTGGAATATGGTAATAGGTATGCCACCTGCACGTTATGACCATAAAAACTCGTGGCGAAAAGTAGATATTCCAAATTACATGCAATATATGGCAATAAATTGTTATTTGAACATCAAATAGGGAAGTACCGTAGCGTTAGTAAATATTCTCTAATACGAACAGTACTCCCTATTATATATATATATATATACAGTTAATATATATTCGTGTGCGTAGTTGTGTATGTATTTGTGATCGCCGTCATGTTATTCATGATAATCAGACGACAACAATAAATGAAGCAACTATAGAATAGTCGGAAGTACCTAATATTAATAAAATAGAAGTTGGAGTAAAAATATTAATTACGGGAGATTTTTCTTAACTTTCTTGTCAATGTTAACTGATATTTCAATTAATATTTAAATATGTACATATATTGTGCGAATTTTATGTTCACATAGACATAAAGTGACAAACATTCTTCGTCAGGATTACAAATTTTTGTATGTAAAAAAAGTAAAAATAATAAAGTATACGAAACATTGAATTTTTTAGTATACTTTGTTCTCCTATCGCTTTCAAATTTCCGTGATGTGGATTATCAACACACAACTCGCTGTTTACTCTTATTTTATACCACAGTAATATCATATGCTAGTACTATAATTACATAGCTATAATATATTCATTAACCAGAAGGAGATTGTTAATAATGGGGAGCATTGGCCCATTGTTAGCAATGTTCAATGCACTAGGGGCTAAGTGGCCTGATTCCATCCGGTGACCAACCAGCGCGTTCAATTATACTATAATAGAATAAGATCACAAAAAGAGATTATTAATTATTTAATTTTCTTTTGTCTCAATATTTCTTTTTGCATTCCCAAGATCTTTGAATTGCTAAAAAGAGGAATGAAATGTTCGTTAGGTTCGTTTCTATGACTCAAATTATTATGCTAACTAGCGCATTACGCTAGTTTACTACATACAGAGTAACTTAGATATATAGTTTTTTAATAGACCGGTATTAACTAAAGTTAAACGCGTACCTGATGCTTGGACACTAGTAAAGGATGACAGAAAGGGTATGAAGTCAAGTAAGTTAACTCATTATATAGATTTCCACGTTGCTGTATTACTTGCAATAGGACCTTATTACCAACTATATGGTTACGATAAGTAACAATTTAAGTGTTTCTTTAAATTGTTTAGCATCTGTAGTAGAGAGTCTGCTTAGTTTGAGATCAGACCGCCGCCCGGACATACTTTACACTTAGCCTTAGTTCCAGGGTGAAATATTGCGCGCCCTGTTGAGCACAACGTATGTAAGCTTTAGATTGTCACGGAAAGGGCGATATTTATGAAAATATATAAAGATAGCTGATACCTGCCAAGCAATTTATCTTAAATTTAATTATTATTATATATATTACAATAAATTTAATCCGTCATTATAGGATCTGTTCAATCATTAGCCGTGAAACGGTATTAAGAATATAGGCAGACATACTTTTGATTTTTTAATATTATTATAAATTTATAAACCTCTTTTATTTATTGAAATTTTTCGTCCACAGATTAAATTTTCTATTTTAAACGTATTTTGTACAAGATACTTAAAGAAAAAAATATACTTTGATTAGTTTTTCTTTTGAAGTTTATTGACCTATATTATTCTAAAAAATGCTCTATTAAAATGTCAGTAACCCCTGGTCACCCAGGTTAAATTAAGTAATGAACACAGGACAAAAACGGAATGAAATTTAAATAAAAACGTTTTAAATAAGAGCTGCGACGAATTCTCAAATGTTCTTTTGTTTACAAGCCTTGTTCGTTAAGCAGTCGCGATACTAATTTATTAAGTTGTCAGTTCATTAGTAGTCAACAATCTGTTACTCCAGCATTATTCAGAAGACAAGTTCTAGTTCTACGAAAATGAGGAGGGGATGTGCCTTTGTAATATTGTAATTGAATTTCATAATAAAGACATTGTGGGCACAGAACTTACAACGGACTGTTACATATTATGTTGTTTACATCAACAGTAATATAATAAATATACTAGTTCTAGCGACAAATATACTACTACCGATACAAACAATCATACTCTCATATACAAATATGGTAAAACACAAATTGGTACAGTGCGAGGACTCTAATCTGCGACCATCGAAAGCAAAGCGGTGTTCTGAAACGGTAGACCACAGAGAACGTCTTAAATCAATGCAATTCAATGAATGATGCATTTATCACATTCATGTCTATCCGTTCATAATCATATAATAATAAATATTACATTATTATTCATAATTTATTATAATTTAAATATAATTATATTTATATTTTAAAGTTTAATTGATCAGATGAAACCAAAATTTTATTCATGCATATATTTTTTGTCTAATAGGCTATTGTGAATTATCCAGTATTAGAAAGACAAACCTAAATGATTGCAATGTTGGATACATTATATATATATAATAATTGTAATTTTTTATGATATTTTTTCACATTATTTCTTCTCGTCAATTTATTGTCTGTTATAATATTAATATACAAATAACAATTATGTAAGTGTGATACAATATATCAATTAATTACGGTCAATGTAACATTAATTATAACTTATGTAACTAAATGACGTCTAGGCTTTGTTAACGGTTTGTAAATTAGTACAGATATAACAATGGGATTAATTTTATCCAAAATTATATCTGAATTGCGCTGTATGATTTCCATTGTGTGATGCAAATTTCAAACGAATGAAATATGGTATAAAATAGATCCTGAAATACCAAATATAAAATCACTTAGACGATTAAAAATATTCAGTATGGAATAAGATTAATTTAATTATGTATACATATGTACTTTTTATTCTATACTGTTCACCTTTATTGTTTATGAATTGTATAGAAGTACTTTAATATA